CTGCCTCTTTGGAGAGACCTGGAAAAACATCAGCAAGCGAGGTGCGCGGGGGGAGAGGAGGATTGAGACTAACTTGATGGTTCGGCGGGTAAAGCGCACGCTGTTGCTGAGGAAGGCACTCAAGCCAGAGCCATTCCAAAATGTGCGCATTGTCTTGGAGAAAGCTCATGAGGGGCGGGAGCACTGGAGGAGGTAGCAGTGCGAGGGAGTATAGTCTGGCGACCGTGTCAACCATTTCGTTGAGCGGGTCAGCTTGGTGACCGTGCACGTGCTGCCATGTAAAGCGACGTTTCAGGCCAAGTACCTTGCACAGACTGTCGAGGCGGCTTCTATGTTCCATTAGTGGCTCAGCCACGGTGCCGCCTTGGGCGGTGGCGACAACGCCCATGTTGTCTGAGTGAAAGGTGAGAGGAACGGCGGGAGGGAAGGGGGACTGTAAAGCCCATAACGCCGCCCAGGTGGCGGCATCGAATTCCGCTTTAGCGGAGACTCTAGTTGTTCCCATTGTCTCCGGGGTGGGACACCCTAGGAAGCCTAGAAAGTGTCGAGTGCCGTTAAGCCATGCAAAGACCAGAAAAGCCCACGCTGGCGGGCCAGCGAGATCTCCTTTGGAGGCCCCTCCGCTGGCGTCAGTATATATATCCGCGGAGTCAAAAGCCGCGTAGGGAGTATCGAAGACAAAGCTGTGCCAGGTGGGGATGGAGGAGGAGTGGAGGGCTGGAAAAATGACATCGAAGTCCCTGACCAACTGTATGGAGGTAGCCGTAAGCACCGGTAGCATCCACCCCATGGGCGGAAGCGGGCTGCGGCGTATACCTTGCCGCCCCCCCAGGTTCACCCGTGGGCAGTGTCCGGGGGAGCGACCTGAAAAACCGTGCCGTCGCGCGCTGCCTGGGCTAAATCGTCCTGAGCAGCTTGTGCCGCGTGGGCCTCGGCTTCAGCGCGAAGGTCCGCAGCCTCTGCTTCTGCCATTGCATCTGCAGGACTGCGTGGGGCAGACGTGGCGGATGTCCCTGCACGTGCCTTTGGCTCAGCCTCGGCTGTCTCGGGCCTGGGGCGACGTGCACCACGAGGGCTCTTGCTGCGTGCTGCCTGCCTAGCTACAACATCTTCCTCGCTAATGCCTGAAAGCGCGCGCTCTTCGGCCTGACCCGCGCGCGCGGATCTGCCCCTGGCCTGCGCGCTTGCGCTGCGGCGGGAGGATGCCATGGAGACTGGCTCCCCTTTTTCATCGGAGAGGTCCCACCCAAGCTGGCTGGCAGAGCGGGTAGGCGGGGGCATGCCGTTGGGATCCTCTACGGAAGCTGCTGCCGGGCTTTGCTGGTTGATAGCCTCCTCCCTAACCGAGCTATCTTGAAACGAGGGCGCAGTGGTGATCGCCTCCCCTGTCGGCGACTTGGGCACTGGCGCTGGCCCGGGCTTGGGCACGAAACCTAGGCGGAATAGCGGGCCTGCTTTGTTGGAAGCGCGGGCCTGTTCACATCCTAACGGCGCTGTGGCCCCCCCCCGGACCGTAGCGCCGTGGCTAGAAGTGGCGGCTGGCACTAGTTGCCCGGCCTTGATCTGTGAGACTAGGGTGTCTACTGAGTTGCGCATGGCTTGGGCCTGGGAGTCAAAACTTGCCTTGATGGTGGCAACCTCCCTGGCCATGGCCTCGGCGTTGCTTTGCATGGCCGCGGAGAGTGATGTGATGTAAGGCTGTTCCAACCCTTGGATGCCTGGGAGGGGCGCAGGGCAGTGGAGGAGTGGGGGAGAGGTCGGCGCTGCCGTGAGGGGCGTGGCCGTTCCCAGGTCATGTGGGTCGGCTTGCTCCTCGCCTGTATGCGTTGCAGAGAGTGCCGCAGTGCGCTGTACTGCACCTGGCTCCTCCGCCGCGTCCCCCATCATGAGCGAGTCAGTGATGGCGGCGGCTGGCGGTGCTTGCGACTTGAAATAAGCTAGTAGCATGGAAGCCTGGCTGAGGTCCGCTTGTGCGGTCTGAATGGCCAGGGCAATGTTGCGCACGTGCTCCTCCGCCTGCGCTCGTTTGGTTGCCAATTGCTCACAATCGGCCTGCAGGGAGGCCACCACGTGCTCTTGCTCACTAATCTTGGCCAGCGGATCCCTCGCATTGGCCAATTGAAAGTTAACTAGTGAAATCTCCTTTCGGATCTCGGTGATACGCATATCGGAGTGTCCTAGGAGAGTTGAGGCCCTAAGCTGCAGGATTAGTGCCTTCTTGCTCATTGCAAGGGCCTTGCGGTGCTCCAGTAGGCGGTCGGGCTCGAGCGGGGGGTAAAGCCAGGCTAAGTGAGAGTGCGCCTCGTCTGGGGTAAGGGTAGGGCACTGCGCTGTGAGCTCCGCCTCCGAGAGCTCAGTGGCAGGATCCAGCGCGCCGAGCGAGGCGGAGGCCTGTTCGGCCGCGAGGAAAGGAGACTGCTGTACAGAGGTTGGGCCGAAGAGTGTAGGGGGAGTGGCCGCACCGTCGTATACCGTCGTGAGGAGGCGCAAAAGGGGAAGGCTGTGTCTGGGGAGACTGTCCTATGATGCCTGTGTCCCTAGCCCCGTGTGGGGTGCCAGGAGCCTTCGATGGAGGCTGCTCCCCATCTCTGCGGTGGTACTCGCGAGCTCTACGAGCATCGTCCTTCTCGCGCTTCTTGCGCTCCTTGCTGGAGATCCCAGCCTCTTGGACCGCATGATCTCCTGGGGGTGCGGGGAGCAGGCCGTATTCCGCTGCCCATGCAGCCACCTGATCGAAAGACGGCACCCCTGTCGGTGCGTGGCCTTTGCCCAAGTGCACCCCCCCCGTGCTTCCGGAAAAGGAGCGAGGGCCCTTGTGGCCCGGCCCCGCGCCCCCATCATGCAGGGGCCTGTGCTGCCCCTGACCTTTGGCTGGGCCGACCTTCGCATGTTGGTGACCTGCTGCCCGAGTCGGAAAACAGTTGGGACATGAGACGTCCATAGTGGTATTGGCCCGGCCACATTGCAGGCAATACCAGAACTCGGGAGGGGCGCTGCCTTTCTGGTGCACTGGCTGCTGGGGTGGAGGAAAAAAGTCCATGGGAAGGCGCGTGGCATAAAGAGACGGTGAGGGAGGAGCAGCCAAACGCTGGGTGGGAGAAGTAGCCATACCGTGCTGCTGCAGCCCAGATGTTGGCGAGAGAGGTGGCGCGTGCGGAGGGGGTAAGGTAGGAGGAACAGCGCCTTGCTGGGGGATACCCTGGAAGGAGTGGTGCTGCGAAAGCATCATCGCAGCCTTGTGCACCCTTAAAAGCGTGCGGGCGTTAGCGCGCTGCTTGCGCGCTCTGCGATGAGGAGCGGGCTCGTCGCGAGGCCGCTGGGGATAGGAGGGAGGAGAGTATGCAGGCGTCGCGCCTGGCAGATGGCGGCCCGATAGGGCGTCGCGGCGGGGATCGGCGCGGAACCGGTTGTGCAACCGCTCGAGCCAAACCTGGAGGAGGAGGGGGAGGAGGGAGCGAGAGAGGAGGAGGAGGAGGAGGAGAGGAGGAGGAGGAGATGGGAGGAGGAGGGAGGGAGGGAGGGAGGGAGGGGAGGGAGGGACAGGGGAGGGGAGGAGGAGAACAGAGGAAGGGAGGAGGAGGAGGAGGAGGAGGAGGAGGAGGAGGAGGAGGAGGAGGAGGGAGAAGGAGACGATCTTCATGCTGTGGGTGGGGGGGGGGGGGGGGGGCGTGGGAGTCGGTGGGGCCCGCTGGCTCCCCGACCTGCTGGCCTTGACTCAGCTCCTGACTCCTGACTCCTGCTCCTGCTCCTGCTCCTGCTGCTGCTGCTGCTCCTCTCCTCCTCCTCCGTCCCCTCCTCCTCCTCCTCTCCCCCTCCCCCCTCCTCCTCCTCCTCCTCCTCTCCTCCTCACCTCCTCCTCCTCCTCCTCCTCCTCCTACTCGACTCCTACTTTACTCTACTCTACTCCTACTCCTACTCCCACTCTGCTCGAGCAGGCTCTTCTCTATTCTACTCCGGCAGGCGAGGCTATGCGGATAGCAGGGGAAGCCATGCGCACAGTTGGGCGACTGTAGGGCACCGTAGAGGGGAGCAGTTGACCAGTTCTGTATGGATCGAGCTAGGACTCCTATAGGCAAGCCTATAGGGAGAAACAACCGAACAGGAAACATCAGGAAATCAATGAGTTGTGCCTTCTCGCCTGTTCACTTCCGATGGGCTTGTGGGGCCTCAAGATGGCCTCAAAATGGCCGAATGGAGCCCCAAGAGAGGCCCAAGAGGCGCCCAGGAGGGCCGCAGGACCACCAGAGAACGCCCAAAGAGGGCCCCAAGAGGCGATTTCGCGGGCTCTTGAGGGGAGACCTGAGTTAAGTAAGGAACCCCCATCTTTTGATGGACACCCTCCAAGGTGGTCTCAAGAGGCATCCAGGTTTCTCAACGGGGCCCCCAAGAAAGCCCCAAGAGGGCCACAGGACCCCCCAAAAGAGCCCCGAGAGCATTTCAAGACTCCCCATAGTACCGCCAAGAAGGCCCCAAGAGAAGGCCTGCTTGGCCTGCTCGCGAGCTTCTATTTAACTGCCGTCTTCTGTCTGGGCATCGTTTCTGAATGGGCCGGTGGGGACAGGCGAAGCGTCAACAATCCACCCCTCACCTTCTACCTTCAATCCAACTGTCTCGCGTGCACAGTCGGCTACACGCAAGAGTGGCCCTAGGCAAGGGTAACCTTTGGTGAGCGGCTTCAGGGGGGCGCGAGGGGGCCAACACCAAGCGCGCCAGCCGCTGCCAACACTTCGCGGTTAGCGGTCGGAGGACCCAAATGGGCCCGCACCAAAGGTCACTCTGGCGAAAGGTCACTCGTGCGTGTAGTCCATACAGTCTCTCGAGGGGGGCGACTGGCTTGTGCCCTGCAGTACGTCCCAGCACAGGGACAACCGCACAGAGTGCAAGAGCTCAGCGCCCAAGTTGGCGAGCTGCATGAGGGTGGCTTGCAGGCGCCTTGTCTTGCTCGTGGTCTCGAAAACGTACGATTGCGAGCAGCATGTAGGCCACGGGCCTTCGCTGATAAGCATGTCTTCTGATAGCTGGGGACTGCATCGATCGCTCCGCAAACTTTTCTCTCGCCCCTCGGCGCGGCCGCCATATCGAAAACTCACCGTTACATCGAGCAGACGCATGCCGCGTACCTATGGGGAAAGAGCTCACAGGTGGAAGACCTGCGGGACGAACACGACCGCTACGAACGGGGAGGAGAAGAGGAACGGAGGGGGAGAAGGAGGCACACGATAGCTAAGACGAGGAGGGGGAGGAGGAGGAGGAGGAGGAGGAGGAGGAGGAGGAGGAGGAGGAGGAGGAAGAGGAGGCGGGAGGAGGAGGGGAGGAGAGGAGGAGGAGGGATGAGGAGGAGGAGGGTGAGGAGGAGGAGGAGGAGGAGGGTGAGGAGGAGGAGGAGGAGGAGGAGGAGGAGGAGGAGGAGAGGAGGAGGAGGAGGAGCAGGAGCAGGAGCAGGAGGAGAAGAAAGGGATAATGATGAATGCAGGAGAAGGAGGAGGAGGAGGAGGAGGAGGAGGAGGAGGAGGAGGAGGAGCAGGAGCAGGAGCACGGAGAAGCGAGTTAGAGGGACACTGCAGTTGGAGCGAAACGCCTGGTGAGATGGCCCAGCGCCAGGCAGAGATGGAGTGCACACTCTGGGCATCCTCGAAGTGCGGGCTGACAAAGTCTCCGGCGAGCGCACATGGTTGAGCTGACCCGGGGACATTCAACGAATATGAGCTGCGGGGCGGGTCGGCAGAGGAGGGGCCACACCTGGCGCAGGGCCGTACCTGGACCAGGGCCACGTTGGGTGCAGGGCCACAGCGCACTCAGGGCCACGTTGGGTGCAGGGCCACAGCGCACTCAGGGCCACGTTGGGGCCAGGGCCGCAGACACCCCAGGGCCATAACGACGGTTCCCGCCCAGTTTCGGAGTCCGCATACTTTTGAGGTACGGATCTAGTCGAGACTCTCAGGCCTCTCAAGGCCAGGGGACAAGAAGCATGAACACATTACGAGGAGGGGCCAGAGAGTTTAGCTCCCCAGGCAATCGGAGGCTTCGCGTCTTGAGTGCGTGGGGAGGTGCTTCCATGTTGGGGGGTCACTCGAAGCATAAGCTCCGGAGGGCCTGGGAGGCTGGTGATACCCATTCATCGTCGAATGAGAAAGCCTCTGCGTAAAGGGATGGTGTAGCTGAGAGGCAAGAAGCCATCAAACGTAACAAGGAAGGTGGGACTTGCAAGGGAAACAAGCAATGGCGCGCAATAAGGAGCGCAGTAAACCAACTATGTGCCGTGCTGGCTGTGACCCCAGCAGGCGGCCAGCAAGGCAACATCGTAGCCACAGAGCAACAACGAGGAGGACGGAGCAGAGCCATGCAGTCTCGTGGCAAGAGCAGGCATGTGATAAAGCGCTGGGGCGGCCAAGCCAAGCTGCAGGCACCTCGTCCTGGCTGGGCCACGCTGGCCGGCAACACGCAGGCGGCGCCGAGGCTGTGGGCCTAGGCAGCACCATGGCTCCGGGGGGGAGGGGGGGGGGCTGCTGGGTGGACCTGGCAGAAGGCCACCCCAGGCCCAGCCACCTCAGGGCAAGATGTCCGATTCTACGCCGCCTCCACCGTGTAGATGTGGACGGGGGGCCCTCGGGCAAGATGGCCGATTTTACGCCGCCTCCACCGTGTAGATGTGGACGGGGGGCCCTCGGGCAAGCTGGCCGATTTTACGCCGCCTCCACCGTGCAGATGTGGACGGGGGGCCCTCGGGCAAGCTGGCCGATCTTACGCCGCCTCCACCGTGTAGATGTGGACGGGGGGCCCTCGTGGCCTCGGGGGGGGGGGGTCAGCAGGCTCACCGGCACCGGCCTGGCGAATCTGAGCACCACCGGCAGCTTCGTGCGAGGGGAGCCCGGCGAGCCTGGGAAGCAAAACCACGACGGCCGCCCCCCCCGGGCCGACCCCGGACGGCGCAGCGCTCCTGCAGGAGAGGCACGGGGCTGCACGGCACGGAGCAAGCCTGGGCAGAGGCACGCGCACGAGCCGTGGACCGACCGGCGCGGCCGAGCCACCGACACGGTGATCACGGCGGCGTGGCCCCGGCCGAAAGGGGGGCAACGACCCCAGACCCCCGACGTAATGATTTTTTCATTACGTCGACCCCCAGAGGTCCCGACCCTTTCCCCATGACCGGCTTTGCATCCTCGTTTTTTGACGCTCCCGAGGCCCGGTGAGGGCCCCCGGAGGCCGGAAATCCGGAAAAACCTCCCGTCATGATTTTTTCCTTACTCGAGGGGGTCTGGGACCTCCGCCGCGCCCGCTGCTTCCAGAGCGGCGTGCCCGCGCAGGCGCGCCCGGCGCCCAGGAGGCGGGGGCAGCCCTCGGCCGGGCGCGAGCGCACCGTCAGGAGGAAGAGCGCGCGCCGAGGCCACTGCCGGAGAGCGGGCGCCGGCAGAGCGGCCGGCGGGTGGGAGGCGAGGCGGGGCGGACCGAGCGGGTCGCAGACGGAGCAAGGGGGGGCCCAGACACGATCGCGTCGCCAAAAAATCATGACGGGAGGTTTTTGGCGATTTTCGGTCCTTGGGGTCCTTCGCCGGGCCTCGGGACCGTCAAAAAACAATTCAGGACGAAAAACCGGTCCCAGGGAAAGGGTTGGGACTTCCAGGGACGCCGTCCTGAAAAAAACAGGACGTCGCATGTCGGGGGGGGGGGGAAGGGCGGCGGCCTCGTCGACGGGGAGACCTCGCCTGACCGCACGAACAGGCAGCTCAGCCAGGGCAGCCGCGAACGCGATCCCGGTACCTGCGTCGGGGTCCCCTTGCTTCGCCCGCTGAAGACGTCGGGCTCTAGGAGAGCGAGCTCGGAGGCCAGGGGCGCCCCGTTCTCTGCGTACCTCGGGTTCTCGCGGTCCGGGAGAAGCCGGGAACACCTGCCGAGCAAGGAGGGCGCGCGGCCCTTAGCCTGCAGCAGCGTGCGGGTCTCGGGCGGGGGCCCTGGCCCCCACGGAGAAGAGCAGAGCTCGGCCGCCCCGACGCGCAACACGCAGACCGCAGCGTGTTGGCACGGAGCTCAACACGCAGATTGAACACGTGGGTCTGGCGCGGTACGCGTTGCGTTTCAACGGCGGCGCGCCTGGGGGGGGAGTGAGAAGGGGCGGGCCTTCTCAGAAGGCTCGGAAGTCGCCTGGCCTTCTGAAAGTTTCCCAAGCCTCCCCCGAAGACGCGACAAAAACCTCTCGGAAAGCGCGAGGGCCCCTGAGGAGTCCCGCCGCCTTCTGACGGAGGACGCCTCCTCCTCCTCCGCTCCCCCCCCCCTCGCTCGCCGCCGAAACACGGGCGCATCCGGGCAACCGAGCAGCAGAGCTCACTGCCGCCCTCCGCTCGCCCTTCCGCCCAGGGCGCCCCCGCGTGGGGCCTCCCTCTCGGAGGGGGCACCCCGGGAGCGAGCACGAGCGGGCCTGCCGCCGCCCAGGCGACCCAAAGTGGGGGCGGCAGGCGCACCGCGCAGCGCGCGGGGCTCCAGGGAGGGCGAGGCACGGAGCGGGCGAGCAGCGCCAGGGGACATCGCGCGGCGGATCGCGGAGGCCCTGAGCCCGGAACAGTTTTCCACGCCTGGGGGGGCGCCTCTTTCACTTCCGCCGCCTTCCGCCAGCCTTCCGGCGGCTTCCGCCGGCGGAGGCGGCCTCGCTCTACCTCCGCCGACCTTCCGCCGCCCTCGCGCGGCGGAAGAGACGACAACTCCGTTGATCCTCGAAGGCAAGGCCATTTTGGGAACGCCTCATGTGTGAAACGGAGCGGTCAGACTCAGAGAGCAACTTCCGCCGCGTGTGGCTCCCGAGCTCGTCTTTGTGCTCGCGCCAAGCAGAAAGGTTTGAGGTGCCGTCTCAATCCACGGCTTCCCGCCCCAATCCCTTGCATCACAGATCAGGCAAATCATGCCACCTTCCAACCGCAAGAGACTTCCAGGGCAACATTGAACGGGACATGCGACAGTTGCCCGTGAGTGCCGCGACAGCCACACCCAGCTCAGCCTCTCGATTGTCCTGTTCGCTGATACTTCGAGCGACATGGCCCTAGCCTTCCCAGACCAATCCAACGATTTCCGTATATACCAGCGACTAGCGCTTCTGTCCAGCACGCAGCGCCTGTCTGTTGGGCTTTGTCGTCGGGGGCAACACCTACGACAATAGTTTCTCAATGTTGGTGGACATTCTGCGCCGAGAAACGTGCTGCATGACGACGAGGCGAACCGACTTTGGAGCTGACGGTAAGGTTCCTCGGCGAAATGACCAAGACCTTCTGGATGCTGACACGCGCTCGCGCGAGAGACAAAAGGCCAGCTACCGGGCGCGCGGTAGACGGGCGAATGTAAAGGCATCAGATGGGGAAGCTGTTGAGGCAGGCCGGAGGGGAGCAGCAGGAGGAGCAGCAGGAGGAAAGCGAGGATCCAGGAGATTGGACAGAGCACGAGGAAAATGTCATCCAGGAGGGGGAGGTGCATGAGCAGGAGGAGGAGGAGGAGGAAAAGGAGGATGAGGAGGAGGAGGAGGAGCAGGAGGCAGGAGAGAGCGGAATGAGGAAGAGGAGGATCGGCGGCGTCGGGGCGGGCCCTACTCCTCCATCGCGTCGGATGCGCCCGCGAGGCAAGCCATCAGCGGGGGCTCCAGGTCGCGCTTCGACAGCCCGCGGCCGATGAACACCAGCTTGCCGGTGCGCTCCTCGCCGGGCGCCCAGGGCTTGCTCGGCGTGAGCTCGAACGTGGAGTGCACCGCCTGCGGGGGGACGGCGACTGTAGCCCCTGCTGTCTGCCCTTCCTCCGTCCTCCCTCGCCGCCGTCCTCCTCCTCCGCCCCGCTGCTCCCTGCTGGCAGCTCCTCCTGCCTAATTGATGCTGATTGCTCTCCCCCGCTGCTCCCGCTCCTTCCCGCTCGTGCCGCCGGCGGCCGATGCTCCTCATCCACGTCCTCCTCATCGTTCTCAACATCATCATCATCATCATCATCATCATCATCATCATCATCATCATCATCATCATCAGCATCAGCACCAGCACCAGCATCAGCATCAGCATCAGCATCATCATCAGCAGCAGTATCATCATCATCATCATCATCATCATCATCATCATCATCATCATCATCATCATCATCATCATCAGCATCAGCATCAGCATCAGCATCATCATCAGCATCACCATCAGCATCAGCATCAGCAGCAGTATCATCATCATCATCATCATCATCATCATCATCATCATCATCATCATCATCATCATCATCATCATCATCATCAGCATCATCGTCATCATCATCGTCATCATCGTCGTCGCCATCCCCCGTCAAATCGGGCCGCATTACCTGGGCGGGGAGTGCGGTTGCGAATCGGCTCACGGAACGGGGGGTGCAACCTGCTATAAAGCACCGCTCCCACGTGCAGACCAACTGCGCTGCCTGCCCCCCTCCTTCTGAGCCCAGGGCTCGACAAGCGGCCCTGGACCTGTCCTGGTGGGAGCTGTGGCCAGAGCTCCTGGCATCCAGGCGCGGCCACGAGATGCCCCCAGAGGCCCCTTCCCGCAAAAGTAAGAATATTGGAGGCCTAGAAATGGGCACCAACACCAACACAAGGGGTTGCCTCAACATGGGGAAGGGGACCCTAGATTTCGGTGTTGGTGGCAATACTTCGGTCACCTTGGAAGCCAGAATATTACCACCATCACCGAGATCGGGATCTTCTTCCCTGGCTGGAGGCACACCCCCGATCTTGGTGTTGGTGTCAATCTCTAGGCCTGCGAGAATAAGAAGAAACACGTCGGAGAAACTCGATCCTCGATCTTCGAGGGGCACCCGCCCAATGAAGAGCAGGGAGAGCGCAACAGGGGGCTCTGCCGGTGGCGGCCCGGCGGTCCTGCAGCATGTAGCGGCAGTCTTCGCCCGCGACCGCCACCATGCCCTTCGCGCGGTACACGTCCGCCTCCCCGCGCTCCCAGAGCAGCTCCTAGGAGGAAAACAAGCCTACCTCGCTTTTGACCACCCTCGCTTCCAAGAGATACCAAGCGATGCCAAGCTACGGCCTGTACTGTTCAGGCCGCCTGACAAGGAGGCGCGTGGTATGGCTTGGTTTCGCCTGGAAGCGAAAGCGGGGTAGGTCATTCAGGCTCTGAGCTCCCCCAGGAAGCGCGTCAGAGCGCGTTCGTCCACCTCGCTGGGCATCGTGATCGTCACGCTGCCTTCGGCAGGTGGCCGAACAAACCGCGCGGTTGCCAGCGCGCCCGCCCCCCCCCGAAACAGTGGGTTCTGGCACTCCAGATGTGCAACCTGTGTGTGGAAATCTATGCGGCACAATCCAGCGATGCAGTCTACGTGAAGCAAAGCGTTCGATGCAAAATACGCGGTGCAGTCTACGGAACGCAAGCTATGCGGTGCAAGCTGCTGGGCGCACTTGCAGCCAAAAATCAGATCAACAAATTCACTTTTTTAGAAGTCTGGGCCAGCTTCCCGGAAGCGCCTTAAGAAAAACATGGTCTAACATCTGTTCTTAACGCTGGAGGGGGCGAGCGTGCTCAAGCAACTGGTCCAGCTGTCCGGCAAGTCGGTGAGAAATGCTGGCCCAACTTTTCGGGGGGAGGTTTCTTAATCAAATGCTCCACCGTAAATGCTGCCACCTCATGGGTTGTCAACTCCACAGCTCGCGCAACCATCCAACACTCCCACCCGCAACTTGTTTTGCAAAACCCATGAGGCGGCAGTTGCGATGACTGTTAGGCCCTGGCTGGCACACCTTCGCGGTCGCGATGGCGCGCGCAAGCTCGCACGCAAAGCGGCCAACTGGTTTGGCACAACCGATGCGGCCGCGATGGCGCTTACCGATGGCCACTTCCCAATGCGTCACAAAAGCCGTGCTGGCGCGCGGGCACCTCAATACGGGTCGGCGGCTCGTGCGGGCGCGGTATCATGATGACGTCGACAACCGCGGCAACGATGGTGGTAGTAGCGATGGTAGTGGCGATGATGGCAATGACGATGGCAAGGCCAATGACGGCGCCGATGATGATGATGATGAAGATGAAGATTAAGATGAAGATGCAGATGCTGATGCTGATGATGATGATGATGCTGATGTTGATGCTGATGATGATGTCCATGCGTCGATGATGAAGGTGCTTGAGTGTTGATGGTAGTCATGGTGACGATGGTCTACGACGATGACGTGGCGGCGCTGATGGAGGTGATGGTGAGGAAGTGCGCGTGCGCGGAAATCCAAGACCCATGGCAAATTTGCTGTTGAAAAAAAACTATGCTCCACAAGCTGCTGTAGGGCTCTAGCTCGACATGTTTCGAAAACCATAGACAGTGACTGGCCGGATTTCGACTCGCTCGCGCTGCGGCGCGCGCGCGCGTGTGGCCGGCAAGGTATGATCTGCTACGGATTCGTGCGGTGGGTACATACTGGATCAATGCGGATGCACCGCGTTGCGAGATGACACCGCAGATTCAGTTGGATCATCCTGGATCGATGCGGATGCACGCGGGCGAGATTGCTAAAATCAAATGGTTCGCCTAGGAGCTCAGCAAATGTGCGCGGGCAGACGCGCTGCAAGATTCGTGGTGGAAAACTTGAGGGCTTTCTTTTCACATCGTTGTGTTGGAATTCGTGACTGATGTGTGTCTGGTATGGTTTCGACACGTGCGCGCATGGTGTCAGATGTTGCAAGGGGTTCTTGAAACGTGACAGTTCACGATAAACGCGTGCACGCATAAGTATTTTTATTTGACAGGCACGAGGGAAAAGGGCCATGTCCGGCCTGCCCGGGATGGTATGGATTCTTCTGGGGAAATAATGATGGGGCACAACCATACGTCATCTGCAGTGCCCCGGGGGGTACCAACAACTCCTCCTCCCTCCTCCTCCTCCTCCTGGGGAGGCAGATGGTGGGAGCCAACTCTTCCCTTGAGCTGCTTAACTCTATGTGGCGCACGCTATGCGGTGCAACCTTCTCGTTGCCCCGCCTGAAGTCGTCAACTCCACTGCTCGCGCAACCGTCCCACCCACCCGCCCGCAGATGACCTGGCAACGCCCATGCGGCCCCGATCGCGATTCCCGATTAGAACTTGCTAGCGCGTCTCTACGGCCGCGCTGGCGCGCGCGCGCGCTCGCGCGCAGAGCGGCGGTTTGGCACAACCGATGCGGCCGCGACGGAGCTTACCGATGGCAACTTTCCAGCGCGTCTCAAAGGCCAACGCTGGCACGCGGTGACGACGATGACGATGACGATGGCGATGGCGATGACGATAATGATGATGCGAATGATGATGTGCATGTGTTGGTGGTTAAGGTGCTTGTGATGCTGATGGTGGCAATGGCGGCGATTCACGGTGACGATAACAGCGGTGATGCGATGGCGCGCTGATGAGGGTGATGTGGAGGTGCGCGGGAGGAGAACTTCACTGATGTTGGCAGACTTGCGCTGCACAGCGCTGGGATCCTCAGATGTTTCTGCAGAGCTCTGTCTTGAAATGCTTCGGAACTTGAAGGATTTGTAAGGATGTCGGCGCGCGCGCGTGGCGGCGGCAGCGGCATGTGGCCCGCACGGTATCATGTGATACGGATGCGTGAACTGGGCGCACGCTGGATCAACGCGGATGCACCGCGTTGTGAGATGGCACTGCAGACTATCTTAAATTGGATCATACTGGATCAATGCGGATGCACGCGGGCGAGATTGCTAAAATCAAATGACTTGCCTAGGAGCTCAGCAAATGAGCGCGGGCAGACGCGCTGCAAGATTCGTGGTGGAAAACTTGAGGGCTTTTGCTTCACATCGTTATGTTGGAATGTATAGCTGATGTGTGTCTGGTATGAGTGCGATGAGAGTGCGGGTTCTAGACGAGCTTGCTGCCATGCTTTATTGTTATTTGACTTTAGCAGGTGCGCTCGGGCAGAACATCTGCAAGGAATCTATTGAACAGCTGACGGGTGTTTACGCGTGTTGTGCTGAAGCGCTTGTGTTTAGTCTGATTTTGACATGTGCGCGCGTGTGGACTTGCCTTTCTGTCGTTGCAAAGAATTATCGATTAAGCGAACATGCGGGCGTTTGAAAGGGATGACGGGGGGGGGAGCGAAACCAGCTCGCCTGGGATGAAGTGACGTCACATGGCACATGAACGATGAGACAGAATTATCTGTACACCGATTCCCGCTTGCAGGGGGTGACACGGCGCGTGTGATGACTGGCAGGTCCGCTACGACACGCGTCCGCGGATAGAGAAAATCAGCGCCATGGTAAGGGATGGGAGGGAGGGGTAGGATGTCGGATGTCGACGCGAGCGCACCTAACTTGCCCTTTCCCCCTCTCTCGCTTCAGGGGGGAGGGCGGAGCTCGTCAACGCCCTTCGGGGGCCCTCGGGAAAGGGAAGAGGTCCCCACGACGGGCCGGCCAAGAAAATCCCAAGAGGGCCCCCATGGCAGGCCCAAGAGGGCTGCGAGACGGCCCGGGAGCGCTCCAAGACGCCCGAGATGTCCTCCAGACTACACAATAGGGAGCCCACAAAAGACGTACGCGCCCAACCATGTACATGAACACAGCCTCTCGATCCGCGAGACCGTCCGCGTGGTACGAACATTCGCGCAATGCATACTCTCGAAACCAACGTGGATTCATGTACGTGTACGTCCTTCTGTCGCTCCTGACACAAGGCGCCCAGGACACCCGAAGAGCGCTCCAAGAGGCACCGAAAGAATGCATGTTCCCAGGAGGGCCTCAAGAGAGCCCCTAGGAGAGCCCCAAGGAGGGGAACGCGAACTGGCACTACGAGCTCTCCGCCCCAAGATGACCCCCGAGACCGCCACCAGGCCCGCGAGAGGCCTCCCAGGAGCCCCCGGGAGGGCCCCTAAAGGCCCCAATGCGGCCTGGAGGGACCCCAGAACCGCACACGTCGTGAGCCAGCTCCCTCCCGCACCCCCTCCCGCAGAAACCCGCCTCGACCAGCGAAGGTTCTCCCCCGGCCGCTCCGAGGGAAGATTGTCCAGTCGGGCCGGGCGAAAGGGGGGGACAGCAAAGGGAGGGTTCGAGAATCAGCTCACGCTGATTTTCCCGCCGCCCCCCGGTGCTGGGAGGCGCCCATGTATCGAGGGATGGGCCCGGCGGCGGGGCCGAAACCAGCTGCATGCAGCAGATTTCGTACCCCCCCCTTTCCGTATCCCCCCCTTTCGTTCGGCCCGATCCAGGCGGCCCGCGTGGACCCATGGGCGGCGCAATCAGCACGGCCGAGGCCGACGAGGCGCCGCCCGCCCCCCCACCCGAGCGACGAGAGACGCAGCGGCAGCCCGACGCCGACCACGCCGGCAGCGCGCGGCGCAGGCGCCGGGCAGGGACTTTGCTGTGAAGCCACGCCGCTCCCTTGGGAGCTCGGGGTGGCGCGGGGCGCGGCCGCTTCAAAACGAGGGCCCAATTCAGCACAACTTTTCCGTCAGCGGCGAGGCGGCGAACTCCGATCCAGCGATAAGCTAGAAGGGGGCACGGACTAGCGAATTGGCCGGCGGGCAAAGAGTGGGGGGGACGGCCGAGAGGAAGAAGGGACGCTCAGACGTCGAAGAGTTCGACGATGAGCAGCCGGGGGGGGCAGCAGCAGCCAGGCGCGCAGGGCCAGAGCGCGGAGGGCGACCCAACTCAACACAAGATGGTTGGGGACAAAAACGCGACATCGGAAGTCCTGGTGTTTGTGAATCCTCGTCGCGTTCCACGCGCTTCGGCCGAAGATCCGTCCGCTTGCTGCCTTCGGGAGCCCGACGGCCCACCGAAAGGCCCAAGAGGGCCCCTGGTCGGCCCAAGACGGCCCCCCTAAGAGAGCTCCGAGCTCGACAAAGGGAGCCTCGAGAAGGACCCCGGATGCCCAAAGGGGGCCCTAGACGTCCCAACAAGGTCCCGGGGCGGCCGACCAAAAGGCCCCAAGAGAGCCCCGAGACGGCCCACTATGGGGGAGACGTAGGACTCGGGTTCGGGGGACTCGGGCTGGCCAGACGTGGCCATCAGGAAGACGAGGGAGCCCAGTCTGAAATCTGACGCGAGCCCCCGCTGCGAGCGTCCCACGAAAACTGGGCCGTCCAAATCCAGGGCGCGCTCGTCAAAAGGCGTCGGCAAACCCGAGTTCCGGCGCACTCGAGTTTACGACTCCCCGAAACTAGAAGTCTCCTAGATGGGAACGGAGTAGATGGGGTCGGAGGATCGCG